GTCACATGGAGGCAGGACTTAAAAGCCTGAATTTTGCCTGAAACTCTCAGACTGAAGAAGTCTCTTGGAGGAGAGACGAAACGTTTCATTAGAGGAGAACCCGTCCAGAAGACCTATACAATTTTTTTCTTTTTGATTTTTTACCTGGATTACTGAGATGCATCAGGACATCTACGAACCACAAATAAACCTGCAGTCTGACAGTGAACTGTTCTATTGGAAAAACGATGGAGATGGAATTTGTTTTTTTGAGAGCTTTGTATTTTCCTATTTACTAAAACGTACAAACTCATGAGCAGTGTGCTTTCATCTCAACAATGTGTTTAGTTCATACACTCAAAAAGCTGGCTAAGAAAACAGGTTTTAATGGCCTTTAAATGAGTTCTTAATGATACAGTACGTGTGCTGCCTTTTTCTCTAGGTGGCCTCTGAGTCAGAGCACTGCATAATAAAGCGGGAGCATGAGAAATGCATGGAGATGATGGCGATGCACACCCTAGACAACATTGAATATGGTAAGTGCATGTGTTTTGTCCTGCATATTTTGGGCATTTATCCACTGCTTTTTTATAGTTTTGCTGCTGGGATTAAAGTGATGCTCATAAGAAACAGAGCTTCTGATGAAAACCTGAGAATAAATAAAAGATAGGCTTTTTTACACTCAATGAGCTACCTGTTTTCAGTTTTAAAAAGGTCAAAATGGAACATGCAAAGATGAGGCCCATCACAGAAAGTAGCTGCTAAACAGCATATGCTGTCCTCTAGTCATCTGCAAAAAAAATAAATAAGTAATAAAATGTTTGTAATGTCACGCTGAACTGCTTTCACTTTTTTTCCCTAACATCACCTTTTTGAAAACACGAGAATCTTGTTATGTGGTTTCTGGAAGCAATTATTTTCTTGGCCATGGATTGTGGTTTTCATTAGCGTCTGCTGCAGGTCTCCTGCTGCTTGAAATTTGTCAGACAGACTGCAAATTCCAAACTGCACGGTGACTCACTGCTTTTCTGACAACTACCAGAACCTTGTGGAGGGGGTGGGGTTTAGCGCTTGAGATAACAAATTTAAAAAGCAGGAAAGCTGAAAGTTCAGCTCATTTATCAAACGGTGATTTTAAAGGTTGACCGTGAAGTCTTTACACAGTAAGATGTAGGTATTTAATGAGCACGTTCGTTTCAGGGTTTTGCGCTTTTAAACGTGTTTTCTGTGCTCTGTTGTCGAGTATATTGATCGTGGCAGAAGAAACCAGAGCATGTTTTATGCCAACGCCCCCATTTGGGATTAAACTGAGACATCCTGGGGTTGATTCTCTTATAATATTGAGCAGTTAGTTTATTTTTGTATTTTGCTATCTGTTCTCAAATCACGTCGGCCAACTTTGACCCTTTAACTCAGAGGTTCTCAAACTGGGGTCCCTGGACCCCCAGGGGTCCGTGAGAGGTATCTTGGGGATGTAATGGAACTAATGCTTTTATGCTTAAGCTAGTTATTCATGACATCCTTTAATGACCTAGGTTTTCATGATATGCTGTTCATCTGCAGATAGAATGATT